ACCTTCGATTCTCATTTCTTTGTTCATCAGCAGACAATAGGAAAAATACGATAATTGGATATATATAGGGGTCGAAACTTTTTTTTCCCCTTTTTTTTGGGCAATAGAATGCAATAGATTTTTCAATCTACGAAATCATATCAAACATTTATAAAATGAATTCAAAGTATTTGTTTGTACTTTCAATCCATTTGTTAAACGTTTATTAAAAAAAAATTTTAATAACTGAATGAATATATGTAGATAGAGACTCAACGTTTGTTTTAACGAACGCTCAAATTCTTATTGAATCAATTTTCAATGAATATAAAAATTTACTTTAAAATAAATTTTTAAACTGAATTAAAATTTAAAAAAAAATTCTAATTAATTGTTTTTGAATTCAAATAACTTTGGTATTATAATTTCATAAATAATTTCCATTACATATTTTATTGGAGCTTGATATAAATTTCCCAAAAAGTTTTCGGCTTGTAAATTTCAAAAGTTTGCCTGAATTCGAAAAAGTTTCTATAAATTAGATTGGGATGAGTAAAGAAAAAGGGGAAATTTGAAACTTTCAAAACTTTGCAAATGGGTTTTAATTTCAAAAATTTATCTCTTTGGTTTATTGAAATATTTGACGAACGAAAATTTTCGAAAAATATTTCTATGAATTATTTGCAGTGGGAATAAAATTTATTCTACTGTCTAGCGACATAATTGTTCCAGTAAAATAATTCTACTAATGAATTGTAATTATTACAAGAGCTAATTTTAAACAATAAAATAGACGACTTTTTTACTTACAATTTTTTTTTATTAAATCTTCTTTTTTGCGTCTTAAAGTCGGTCAAAATCTGAAAACAAAAAAATAAAATATTAACAAGTAGAAAAAAGTTTAATAAAAAAAAATAATAATTCTCAATTAATTTAATATAAATTAACTAAATTTAAACTGCAATAACAATTAATAAAAAAAATTACAATTTTCTTGTTTTTATGCTTTTTTTATTGAATACAAGAATTTCAAATGTTTAGTTTCATTGTAACTTTTATTTCCCTCTAATACCAAGTAGAAAAAGAAACAGAAAACATATTGTCTGACTAAAATTACTTTTTACCACTGAATCTAAATAAAAAGTGGAGGGAAACTTGTTCAACACTTCAACAGTCACAAATTTGCCAAAAAAAAAGAATTCTCACGACAAGATCAGCAAAAATCGCGAATGAACAAAATAAATGAAAGCAATTTACAATTTCCAGAAATATGAAAGCGCTCCGAAATATTTAGTCTAAAGGTAGAAAAGTATATTTTCCGTATGAATGCAATCTAATTTGCGAATTTCAATTTTCTTTAGAAAATATGTCCGTTGCAGGTACTTATATATACATTCAAAAGTACATGAATTACTCTACATATATACAATATAAAGCAATCCTCTATATTTATTCGAGCACAAAAAACAAGAATCGAAACAAAAGAAAAGGAGAAAAAAAAGAAAAATGCAAAATGAACCTTTAATGGTCACTAAAGCGATATAATAGAAATATAAATACTATACTGAATATGAAAGTTGCGAGGAGTGAATGAATAAAGATAAACTGCTATCAGGTATGAAACAAATTTAGGAGTTGCATTTGGATGACATGTTCAAATGCTCGTATATGAATTGAACATTTGTAGGTACATGCAAATATCGCACACTGTCCAGCTAAAGCCATCACTTGATAGAATACACATTTCCTGCTTGTATTCAAAATCTATTGATCCCTTATGCAGCTCTCACGTTTTTACTCTCCCTCAAATGATGACATTCATGTGAAATCTGATATACTCTATATATAGAGTGGGGATCACATACATATATACATACGTGAAAGCAGAACAATACCTCTTTTAGATTCAATAGAAACTGATACAATTTTCGCCATTTGGCAATTTTGTTTCTAAATCAGAGTTGCCACGGTTTCAATGCACCTGCCTCAATGTACTCTCTATGTATGTATGTATGTATGAAGTAGGCCTTAACCGCATCGTAAAATGAACACATAAGTACTTGGACGATCATTTTGGGCTCGGAGATAATTTCAGTTGCATTGGATTTGAATTTTTAACTAAATCGCATCAAATTATTTCAGAATTTGTAAACTTAAACTTAAAATGAATAAAAGAAATAAGAAAAAAATGTCATGTTGGTCTGACTAAAATTTACTTGTACTACTGAGAGTGAATTATTTCAATTCCTCTCTTAAGGCTGATTAAAACTCATCTGAACTACTTAGAGAGTGATTTTGTGTCAGAGAAAAGAGTAGAATTTAAAATAATTTAGTTTCAGTAGTACAAGTAAATTTTAGTCAGACAAGCATAGAATTTTACCAACTTTCGTCTGAAAGTAGTAAAAGTATATATGATTCAGACTGAAGACTGGAATTATTAACAATAAAGCATCAGTAGTATGAGTAAATTATAGTCAGACTATCTACTTTCAGTAGTACAAGTAAATTTTAGTCAGACAGACAAATATTTGCAATTTTCCTACAAGTATGTAGTTAAATTGATTTCGAGTCTGACTAAAAAGTACAAAATTAAAAGTAAATTCAATTTTAGTCAGAAAAGTAGTGATTTTTAATTAGAAAGAATATAAATTTCATGAAATAATTTTTTTACCATTATATTATTGTATGGTTACTACAGGGCTCGAATTATTTACAAATTTTTTGTCAATACAATTCAATTATTTTTAATCCAATTTTAATAAAAAAAATTTTCGGAAAATATAATTATTCTTAAAAATTTTATTAAAATTCGTTAAACGAATTCAATTATTTAAAAATTTTTTGATAAAATTCTATATGAGAATTCAAGTTTATGAAATATGCACTTTTTCAATAAATTGTTTTTTTGTATTTAAATAATTGAATTCTATTGTAGAATTTTCTAATAAAAATTGATTTAATAATGGATTCCAGTTAAGATTTTAGATTTTAATTGAATATTATTAAGAGCGTGAATTTTTTAAAATAATTGAATTTTGAAAAGGTTTTAAATTAAAATCTTTGAAAATCTGAATTTTTCGTATTTTTAAATAAAAATTCTGTGGAATTCATTTTTTTGAGAAAGTTTAATTGCGGATTTTTTAAAAAAAATTAGTTGAAGTTTTATTTTACACGTAATGTATATTTAATTGAAGAATTCAAGAATAATTGAAATTATTTAAAATTAAATTGTAAACAAATGAATTTAAAAATTTTTAAAGAACTTTTTCAAAAATTGTTAAAAATAATGCACTTATAGAAGAATTTTCGTTAAAAACAAGAAAAAAATTTAATTTTTGTAAAAGTTGCAAATTATTTAACTAATTATAAATTCAATTATTTTCAAGAGTAATTTTACATTCTTTGCAAAAATAAAATATTGTTCAAAAATAATAAAATTCTTCTTACGAATTCAATTATTTTCACAAATAATAAAAATCATCGCAGAATTCCAATTATTTTTCTTCGCAATCATTCAATTATTTTCATAAATAATAAAATTTTTACAGGGATTGAGCTATTTCCGAAAATAATAAATTTCTTTTTTGGAATTCAATTATTTTCATAAATAATAAAACTCATTGCAGAATTCCAATTATTTTTAATACAGTTTTAATCAAATTTTTTAAAAAGTGTAATTATTCTTTAAAATATTAAAATTCGTCGAAAGAATTCAATTATTTAAAAGTTTGTTGACAAAATTCTTTATGGGAATTGAATTTTAAGAAACATTCAATTATTCAATAAATTATTTATTTTTGTATTTAAATAATTGATTTCTAGTAGAATTCTCTAATAAAAATTGATTTAAGAATGAATTTTAATTTAAATTTTAGATGATAATTGAATATTAAAAGCATTATAGCGTGAATTTTTAAAAATAATTTAATTTTGAAATTTTTTTTAAAAAGTGAAATTATTTTCGGAAAATGTAATTATTCTTAAAAATTTTATTAAAATTCCTTAAACGAATTCAATTAATTTAAAAATTTGTTGATAAAATTCTTTATAAGTATTTAATTTTAAGAAACAGTCAAATATTCAATAAATTTTTTTTTTTATTTAAATAATTGAATTCTAGTAGAATTTTCTAATAAAAATTGATTTAAAAAATATGATGATAACCTTCTTTATGAAAATGGAATTTTAAGAAACATTCAATTGTTCAATAAATTATTAATTTTTGTATTTAAATAATAATTGAATTCTAGTAGAATTTTTTAATAGAAATTGATTTAAAAATGAATTTCAGTTAAAATTTAAGATAATAATTGAATATTAAATATAGCGTGAATTTTTAGAAATAATTGAATTTTGAAATTTTTTTGAATAAGTGTAGGTAATTGAATTTTTTTATATTATTTGAATTTTTTTTTTAATATATAGTTAATTGGAGAATTGACGAATAATTGAAATTCGTAAAATTGAATATTGTAAACAAATGGATTTGAAAATTGTCGAAGAACTTGTTTGAAAATTAATTGATTTAAAAAAGAATTTTAGTGAATAATTTTTAAGAAATAATAGTAGAATTGAAATGATGAAAATATTTTTGAAGAAGTACAATATTTTTATAATATAAAATAATGATTTGATCAATTTGCCATCTTTAATTATTATAAAAACATGAAGAAATCGATCACGCCGAGTCTTCGACTCGGATCGATTATCGATTTCTTCATGTTTTATAGTTATTAAGCTATGAAAAATTTAATTTATAGTTTTAAGTAAAATGTTCTCATATTTGACTCGGGCTGGTTATATGTTTGTCAGTAATTGGTCCGTAATTTTTCATTTTTGGTCCGTAAAGTCCGTATTTTTAAATACATGGAGAATACATTCTATAGAATCATTCTAGTGGAATTCTATATAATATTGTAAAATTAAGTTTTCAAAATGTGTAATTTTCTGTTCTTTGCAAAAACAAAAAAAGAAGAAAAATAAAAATAAATTAAAAACAAATCTTTTTTTGTTTTGTTTAGAATGGAAGAGCGAGTAGTGAAAGTAGTGAGGACGGAGTTGGAAGCAGTGCCAGCACGTCCCGTGGTGCCGGAAGTGGATTTGGTACCGGGTGTGCCGGCGGATGGCGAAGCGTCTTTGGCGCCGTTTCCGGTCGAGAACTCAGGCTCTACGAATGCGCACCCTGGAGTCCAGAAGCGTGGGCGTCACCAAGTATTACCTGTCCCCTTATTGCCACGAGGTAAGCAACTTTCTTTCAAAAAAATGAAAAATAAATAAAAACTTTCTCAACTTTCCACCACCCTTTATATCATCTTTATAGCTGTATATATATATATAAATGTATATACAACTTTTCAAGTAAACAGCTAATTCTATCTCAAACATAAAGTCGTAATTAATTTTCATATTTCTTGCACATTCTATAGTAACAATAAGTTGAAACTTTCTATTTCCAACGTCTTTGCTGTTAAATATTAAATTACCTTTATAACATTTGCGCGCGCGAGAGGCGTGCTGCGCTCATTAAAATGAATGTTTTCAATGTCAATGGAAAACCTATTAAAATTATTAATGAATTAATAAACCGTCTCAGTCTATTTCAATTAATTAATTTCTCGTGAATGAATGTCACTTGAAAATTTACTCACCCAACATTGTCGCTGATTTTTAATTATAGAATGTCGTTGATATTACCATTAATACTATATATAAATAGTTATTGAACTTTTCTGTCTGACTTAAATCTAGTTCTACTACTGATTTTCAAATTCACACTATTTTTATTCTTTGGTCTGACTAAAATGTAGTTTTACTACTTAAAAATACGATAAGACATTTTTTTTTGTACTTTATTCTTTATTGTCTGAGTTATATGTAATAATTATTAAATTACAAATATTTTTATTTTTAGTCCAGAATAAAATTTACTTTCATTAGGCTGATTTTTCGATTTCTTTCGCTTTTTACATAACTACTAAATAATAAATTCCATACAGAACATTATTTTTAAAATTTAAACTTGAGAAAAAGAAATCGACTAAATTAAAAAATTTAGATATGTAAAATTTTTCAATTTAGAAAATATTCATTGGGGTGAAAAAAAAAAATATATATATATGTATATATGTTACGAATGGATTATTCGATCGTGTTCACAATTCAATGGAAAGGATTATCAATGAGGCGTACGCAGACTGTCGGATTACCGCAGTTAGCGGTGTTCGTTATGTCCGTCGCTATTTTAATTAAGACTATTATATCCGGCGACGTTCGTATATCGCGCGCGGCTGGACGTGTTACGTGCACGGACAACGAAATCTCACGTCACGCCTGTGAATCCCACTAGATTCACTTTACACTAATGTTATCCTCGAAAATGTCTTGGTAATTAAACTTTACATTCATACTAAGCACACACCAACACATTTACAGTAAACCCCCCCCCCCAAAAAAATGTCATTGGATTTTATTTCTCGTCAATTCAGTTGTTTATTTTTTAATTATAATTGTAAAAAACGAGATTATTTTTTTTATAAAAATATGTATAAAATATGTAAAAAAATATATAAAATACATAAAAAAAATGATTTTAGTGTAAAAAATTGTGCGAGTTTCGTGAAAAAAATTGTATAAAGAAGGTCCACTACTGTTAAATTTAAAGTATCAAATTGCAACGAACTGATACAAAAATGTGGATCAAATAAAAAATTGATCTAAATTTTTTGATATCAATTTGATACACGTTAGTATAGATACTTTTTAAGAAAACATAATTTTCGTAAAAAAAACTTGTATAAAAAAAGCTGATAAAGTAAAGAGGAAAAAACGAGGGTTTCTTATATTTATATTGAAATGAAAATAACTCTTCGCCTTTTACTTTTACTTTAATATTTTATATGAAAGATTAATTATATATTCGAGTTTAATTTAAAGCCTTTTGCATTTTAGAATAAGTTTTCTACTATACATTGCATTGAATTAAATTAGTCTCATTAGTTTTGGATTAATTGCATTCGTTTTTTCTTTCTTTCATTAAATTAGATTATCTAATTATGAAATGGTTTTATGTAGCATTTCCTTTGCGTTCGTTATTGAGAATTAATAAACTGAGGTAATTAATTTAATTTTTAAACGTTGCTTCTTTATATATAATTGTTTTAATATTTTGTTTCGTTATTTAGAAATGGATAAAAACACCAGATTTTTAAAGTGGAACTGGAAGTTCGTAGTGCTTTTTAGCAACGAAAAATGACACGATATATATTATTATTTTGATTGATTAATTAATTAACAAAATAAAATGTTTTATAACACAAATTTTTGCTTATAAAATTGTCATAAAACTTTATAAAATGAATTTTTTTTATTTTACTAACAGTCTTCTGACTCAAGTAGTGAAACTACTAGTTTACATAGAGAATTTTTGCTAAACAAAATATTTGAACTGTTTCCAATTTTACGTTTCAGTAGTCAACATAAATTTTAGTCAGACATCACTTAAAATATTTTATCCTCTATTGCAGTGATAGAAGCAAACTTAACTTAGAAAATACTTTTTCAATAAAATGAAGCTTTTTGTCAGTAGTAATAGTAAATTAGTCAGACAAAATAATAAAAAAATTTTATTGTCAGTCATATAATATAGTTTAAAACAGACAATATTGCTGCATTCTTAAGTAGAAAAATTACATATTTGTCAGACCTAGGAGTAGAAATTCCGCAACTGGGAAAATCAGTTGTAACAGTAAATGTTAGTCAGACAAAAAGAAAAAAACATTTTCATTGTGTTTAAAGTAGTAAAACTACATTTTAGTCAGACGTAAGAATAAAAACACAAGGAGTTGGAAAATCAGTAGTAAAAGTAATTTTTAGTCAGTCGGAGAGAAAAAAATGTATTATCCTACTTTTTAAGCGGTAAATCTACATTTTAGTCAGACCTAAGAGAAAAAATATAGAGAATTAGAAAATCAGTAGTAAAAGTGTATGATAATTAAAAAAATGCAAAAATATTCTATTAACATATTTATAAGTGGTAAAAAACATTTTACTTAAAACTATAAATTAAATTTTCCATAATTAATGATGACCGAGTGATAAAATCATTATCAATTCAATTATTCTTTACAAGAATTTTTAACTGAAATTCTTCTTTAAATCGATTATTTTTAATAATTTTTGAAAAAGTTCTTTGACAATTTTCAAATCTATTTGTTTACAATATTAAATTTTACAAAATTCCAATATTCGCAAATTTTTCAATTAAATATATATTAGAAAATAAAAGCTTCAAATAATATTAAAAATATTCAATTAAACTTTTTCAAAAAAATTAATTTCAAAATTCAATTATTTCTAAAAATTCACGCTACATTGCTTTTAATATTCAATTATCATTTAAAATTTTAACTGAAATTCATTTTTATGAAATGAAAATCAATTTTTATTAGAAAATTCTACTAAAATTCAATTATATAAATATAAAAATAAATAATTTATTGAATTATTGAATGTTTCTTAAAATTCAATTCCCATAAAGAATTTTGTCAAGAAACTTTTAAGTAATTGAATTCTTTCGACGAATTTTAATATTTTAAAGGATAATTACACTTTTTAAAAAATTCGATTAAAATTGTATTAAAAATAATTAGAATTCTGCAATGAGTTTTATTATTTATGAAAATAATTGAATTCCAAAAAAGAAATTTATTATTTTCGGAAATAGCTGAATCCCTGTAAAAATTTTATTATTTATGAAAATAATTGAATGATTGCGAAGAAAAATAATTGGAATTCTGCGATGATTTTTATTATTTTTGAAAATAATTGCATTCGTAAGAAGACTTTTATTATTTTTTAACAATATTTTATTTTTGCAAAGAATGTTATTACTCTTGAAAATAATTGAATTTATAATTAATTAAATAATTTGCAACTTTTTCAAAATTAAATTTTTTTTCTTGTTTTTAACGAAAATTCTTCTATAAGTGCATTATTTTTAACAATTTTTGAAAAAGTTCTTTAAAAATTTTTTAATTCATTTGTTTACAATTTAATTTTAAAAAATTTCAATTATTCTTGAATTCTTCAATTAAATATACATTATGTATAAAATAAAACTTCAAATAATTTTTTTTAAGAAATCCGCAATCAAACTTTCTCAAAAAAATGAATTCCACAGAAGTTTTATTTAAAAATACGAAAAATTCAGATTTTCAAAGATTTTAATTTAAAACCTTTTCAAAATTCAATTATTTTAAAAAATTCACGCTCTTAATAATATTCAATTAAAATCTAAAATCTTAACTAGAATCCATTATTAAATCAATTTTTATTAGAAAATTTTACAATAGAATTCAATTATTTAAATACAAAAAAACAATTTATTGAATAATTGCATATTTCATAAACTTGAATTCTCATATAGAATTTTATCAATAAATTTTTAAATAATAGAATTCTTTTGACGAATTTTAATAAATTTTTAGAAAATAATTACATATTTTAAGAAATTTAATTAAAATTACATTACGAATAATTGAAATTCTGCAATGAGTTTTATTATTTATGAAAATAATTGAATTCCTAAAAAGAAGTTTATTATTTACGAAAATAATTAAATCCCTGTAAAAATTTTATTATTCATGAAAATAATTGAATGATTGCGAAGAAGTTTATAAAAAATTTGTAAATAATTAAATTCCTGTGGAATGTTTATTATTTTATAAAAATAGTTAAAGGTTTGCGTAGAATTTTATTAATTTTTTTTAAATAATTGAATTCTTTTGGAAAATTTAATTAAGATAGTAGATATTAAAAGTCATTGAATTGAAGAAAATTTTTTAAAGTAATTGAAATTTTGCCAAGAATTTTATTAAAATTTTTGAAAATAATTTAATTTCGAAAAAGAATTTAATTATTTCTAAAGATAATTGAAATTTTGACAAGAATTTTCAAACATTTTTGAGCAAAATTGAATTCCTGCGAAGAATTTTATTACATTTGAAAATAATTGAATTTCTTCAATCATTTGTAATTTTTCTAAAATTCTCCAAAGTATATCGTAAAATTTACGAAATTTTCGTCTTTTCTCAATCAAATTACGGACTTTACGGACCTTTTTTTTTTTTAGAAAAAACTGACTTTTACCGACTTCAAGCAAATTTACGGACCTTTACGGGATTTCTGAACCTAGATCGAGCCTTGGCAGTATAAAAGTTGAAAAATCAGTGGTAAAAATAA